TCGTCAATATAAAAAATTGCGGTAGAGTGTGAATCGTAAATTGTAATAAAAAATAAATAAATCGTTAAAATAAACAAAACAAATAATAATAAAAACAATAATAAACAATAAAATAACATGTGTTCTATTTTTGTTGCCAATTGTTTCATTAAACATGTAACTTCCACTGAGGGAACAATCAGTGGAACTGCTCTTTATAGAAATGAAGAATGCATTTGCTCTGACTGTTCATAAAACTCAAGGTTTGACCTTGCCACATGTAATGTTGAATGTTGACGAAAGTATGTTTGCTGAAGGGCAAGTGTATGTTGCAATGAGTCGAGCTCCTCATTGGAAAAACTGCAAATCCTTGATTTTGATTATTCACAGTTAAAAATTTCCAGGGCGGTTTTGGAAGAGTATAAAAGATTGGAGGCTGTGAGCATTGATGGGTTACAAAAACTAACAACGCTGTAAAAAAAAGTATTCTTTGTAAAAAATTGAATGTAATTAAATCGTGATGTATTAAAATTTTAAATTCCCGAAAAATTCCACGCTGATGCTTGTGTAATGTGATGATTACACGAACTCGCCGCAACCTATTAAAATCTTGGTTTATTACCAAAATTTCAATAAAATGTCTAAAAATAATTTAACAGGTGCTCAGATAATTGCAAAATCTCTTAAAGAGCAAGGCATTAATGTGGTTTTTGGAATAGTCGGGATTCCAGTAGTTGAGGTAAAATAAAAAGAAAGCTTCATTTTTTTGGGGGGATAAATGTACACATTTATAATTAAAGTATTTTAGGTTGCAGAAGCAATAATATCTGAAGGAATACGCTTTATAGGTTTTCATAATGAACAATCACTTAGTTATGCGGCAGGAGCTTATGGTGAATGAATATACTAAAATTTTTCAATTAAATTTACAACTGTTTGCTTATTTTCTTTTTTCCTGCTGTAATTTAACAGGATATTTAACAGGAAGACCTGGTGTAAAGTATAATATTTTCTTTTTTTAAAAAAATAATATATATATACACACTCGTAAGATTTTATATATAAAGAACAATGTTTTCGTTATTAATTAGGTGTGTTTAGTAGTATCAGGTCCTGGTGTTGTACATGCAATGGCAGGTGTCATGAACGCAAAAGTAAATTGTTGGCCATTGTTGCTTCTTGGTGGTTCGTCAGATATTTACCAGGAAGGAATGGGTGCTTTCCAAGAATTAGACCAAGTAACATTGTGCCAACCAAACACTAAATATTCAGCAAGACCAACTGATCCAAAACAAATTCCAAATATCATTGACAAAGCTATAAAGTTTTCAATTTATGGTCGACCTGGTCCTGTTTATGTTGATCTACCTGCAAATTTCATACAAGCTACAATTGATATTAGTAGCAGTAGTGAGGCCGTATCAATAAAATTTCCCAAAGGTCCGATTGATCCACCTAAATCATTAGCAAATACTGATGATATTATCAAAGCTGTACAACTATTACAAAATGCTAAGAGCCCATTAATAATTATTGGTAAGGGAGCATCATATTCACGAGCTGAAAAAGAAATCAATCAATTGATTGAACATACAAATATCCCATTTCTTCCAACACCAATGGCTAAAGGAGTAGTACCTGACACACATCCATTATGTGTTGCAGCTGCCAGATCAAAAGCATTAAAAGATGCAGATGTGATACTATTGTTAGGTGCTAGGCTTAACTGGATACTTCATTTTGGTTTACCACCTAAATTCAATAAAAATGTAAAAATCATTCAGGCAGATGTATTACCAGAGGAACACTATCAAAATTCTAGAATCTATGTGGCGTTACTTGGCCATCTACCAAATGTTGTTTCACAACTCATCTCAACCATACAAACAACACATTTTAAATATTCAATTGCTAATTCAAGTTATTTTCAATCTCTGAATAAAAAGATCAATGAGAATATCACAACAGTTCAGTGAACGCAAAAGTAAATTGTTGGCCATTGTTGCTTCTTGGTGGTTCGTCAGATATTTACCAGGAAGGAATGGGTGCTTTCCAAGAATTAGACCAAGTAACATTGTGCCAACCAAACACTAAATATTCAGCAAGACCAACTGATCCAAAACAAATTCCAAATATCATTGACAAAGCTATAAAGTTTTCAATTTATGGTCGACCTGGTCCTGTTTATGTTGATCTACCTGCAAATTTCATACAAGCTACAATTGATATTAGTAGCAGTAGTGAGGCCGTATCAATAAAATTTCCCAAAGGTCCGATTGATCCACCTAAATCATTAGCAAATACTGATGATATTATCAAAGCTGTACAACTATTACAAAATGCTAAGAGCCCATTAATAATTATTGGTAAGGGAGCATCATATTCACGAGCTGAAAAAGAAATCAATCAATTGATTGAACATACAAATATCCCATTTCTTCCAACACCAATGGCTAAAGGAGTAGTACCTGACACACATCCATTATGTGTTGCAGCTGCCAGATCAAAAGCATTAAAAGATGCAGATGTGATACTATTGTTAGGTGCTAGGCTTAACTGGATACTTCATTTTGGTTTACCACCTAAATTCAATAAAAATGTAAAAATCATTCAGGCAGATGTATTACCAGAGGAACACTATCAAAATTCTAGAATCTATGTGGCGTTACTTGGCCATCTACCAAATGTTGTTTCACAACTCATCTCAACCATACAAACAACACATTTTAAATATTCAATTGCTAATTCAAGTTATTTTCAATCTCTGAATAAAAAGATCAATGAGAATATCACAACAGTTCAGAAAAAGTTTCAAGATGAAAAAATTCCCATGAGTTATCATCGTGCATTTTGGGAAATTAAGAAAAGATTGCCAAAAAAAAATTTTGTTATGGTTAGCGAAGGTGCTAATACTATGGACATTGCAAGATCTGTTTTTGATTTGGAAGAGCCAAGATGCAGATTAGATGCAGGTATTTTTTAACTCGTTAAGGTTTGTTACCTTGCTGGCAATTATTTATTTATTTAATGATGAAATTCTTGAATAGGAACTTTTGCAACTATGGGAGTTGGGATTGGATTCTCCATTGCAGGTTTGTTGCAATACAATCATATAATATTGTTGTGAATTTTAAATCCATGTGCGTGAAATTCAAATTAACAATCAGAATTTTGTATCCAAACACTCCACCACAATATTATATATATAAATTATTATGATCCAATTACTAAATAGTCATCTTTGTATAATTAGCAAAATTATGCTATCCAAATAAACGGGTAATAGCAATTGTTGGTGATTCAGCATTCGGTTTTAGGTAATTAATGTTATTTTTTATTTTAATAGAATTTGAAAAGATTTTTCAAATTCAAAAAATATATATATTATAATATAATAGTGCAATGGAAATTGAAACAGTTGTACGTGCACAAATTCCAATTCTAATTATTGTAATCAATAATAATGGCATCTACCATGGACTTGATGCTGATTCTTATGCAAAAATACCAATCAACCAATTACCATCAACAGCTTTACTACCAAATCTAAGATACGACTTAGTAGCTGATGCATTTGGTGGCAAAGGATATTTTGTAAAATCACCCAAAGAATTAGATAATGCTCTTGAAGAAACAATCAGTGATGAGAGTAATAGTTGCATTGTTATTAATGTTATGATCGAACCTGGTGGTAATAAAAAATTGGTAAATGATGATGAGATTATTATTTGTTTTTTAAAAGAAAAATATTTTTATTAAATATTAGTTTCTTTTTAAATAGGAATTTGCATGGATGGAAACAACTAAATCAAAGTTATAAATATATATACATTTTTTTAAAAAAATTTTATTTATAATGTTTTTATAAATATTGTAATATTATATCTATTATTATCTTTTAAGCAATGAAATACTGATTATAATTACAAGAAAAACAAAAGCCATTGCTCGATTTGAAAGTTGATGAACAAACGAAGATATTATTCTACCCGCTATAGTAGAAAATATTTCAGTTTTTCTTATTGTTTTATATGGATCCATAATCCTACATTTATCCCACATTACACAACTTTTCTCCAAGTATGGTGCTCTTGTATCTGGCTCGCATTTGTTTATGACATAGTTATGATGACAATTTTCTATTTGATAATTTGCGCCTATCATAAATAATTTTTTGTTTTGTTTTGGAATAAAATTAAAATTTTATATTTATAATTTGATGAGGATGAAAAAAAAAGCAAAAACCTTGAACAACTTTGTCAACTTCGTAATGAAAATCATTTCTAAATTCCACACAGAATTCAACGATTATGTAAAATATAAATGCAAGGATAATCAAAACAACTGATAATATCAACATTTTGGCAAGAAAATATAGATATCTATATATTCAATGTTTGATTTATTTGTTAATATTGAACCCTCGTATAAATTGTAAAAATTTTTTTAAAAAAAAAAAAAATCAAAAGACAGAAAAACCTTGTGGTGTTATCCAAATAACCATTAAATGTGCGAGTGTTTGAATGATGTGCCAACAATTCATTAATAAAATGATGTTCTTGGTCAGTAAAGCCAAGACTAGATGCAGGTGTAGGGGTAGTAGCTGTGTCGGTAGTTGTGGGTGTACTATCAAATGAAAAATCATTTTTAATGCTTGATACTTTTCTATTTAGTAAAGGTATTGTTAAAGCTTTTTTTGATCGATCACGATTAAAATTTGAATTCATGGACAACAATATTCCTCTATTTATTTCCTAAAATACATGTGCAAGCACATAAACAATCATTTTTGTTAATCTGTAAAAGAAAATCTTTAAAATACAAAATAAATGTATAAATATAATAGCTACATCTTGATCTTCCTTGTTGTAAGATTCGGGTTCATCTGTGAACTGCATAATAATAATTGCTAACTGAACAAGGCATTAATTTTTTTTATAATAATAAATCAATATTTGATGTTACACAGACTTCCATTATGGAAATGATGGGAAACGCGCGACAAAAAAATCGTTGTGGAAAAGATGATTCAAAAAACTTTCATGTAATCAATTCAATACATTTCATTTACCAAGTTGAGAATTCACCAAAAGATTAAGTAAATATTTGGATGTTTTTTTTAAATATATTACATATTGTATAAAAAATAATTTATAACATGGGAGGGAATATAGTTAATATGTAAATATGTTTGTTTATACTATAATAGAAATATTTAATAATATCGAGTGTTTATATATATATATATTTATTTATAGAATCGATATCTAATATGCTTGGTAGACATGGTAAAAAATTTAAAATATTTGAAGATTGGGCTCATTAAAAATTGGAGAATATTTTCTTGAAGTCGGTTAAATTTTATGATAGTCTATTTTTATTATTTATAAAATGCAAAACATTACAAGTAATACAAACAGATATTAAAAATACAATTGTTTGAAGTAGTGAGTATTTAATAGTAATTGTTATTTCTGAATATTAATATATAGTAATATTATGACATTTAATAAATTTAAATTTATGTCCTTCAATTCATTATAATTGTTTGATCTTTTAAATGGTTGGAAATATCATTGAATGCGTGATATGGATCAACACTTTTATTTAAATCAAAAGCATTACTAGAAATAATAGAATCATCAACACTGGAAATTGCATCTTGATCATTACATCAAGTCGCATGTATTATCTGTTTCAGTAGTAACTGGGTGGGTTTCGCTTGTAACATTTACTGATTTGAATCATTGTTCAAAATATCTGGAAGAGTAAGTTAGCTACAGTGACCCTTTGATTTTCATTTTGTAATCTATAACAATTAAGTCCAGTAATAGAACAATGTAAAGCTATGTTCAACTTAGGTTCCTATAATAAATATAAAAATATATATTACCAAATCTCCCCATTTTTAAAAATTAAAATTACCAATGTTATTTTGTAAATTTAGAATGTGTAATAGTTTTTTAGTAATAGTAACATTCCGCGAGGCGAGATTAAATATACAAATTTTAGAAAAGAATAAATTAATTTGTTATTAACCACCCAACAAATCTTCTTGATAGTGGAAAAAGTTACACATAAAAATGACATAAATGGTGGGGGATAAATCAGTTAAACCACTGGAATAATACCCGTCTACCCAGGGTTAACTATTAATTATCATGGGAAGTTTACCAATGTTATAATTTGAATTAATTAAACTAATTGTTTCCGTGTACTTTCTTTCAAAATAAAAATGCCTCTTCCTTTTACAAATTAAGGCTATTCTTTTATTATTACATTTCATAAATCAAATTGTCTTTAGATGCATATGACTTGTGTTAAATTGATGTTTTTTCGAATTTTTGACTTTGAAGTTAACTACAGAACTACACGTAATAATAATATTAATCATGTTCTTGGGTGTCTGAGTTTGAAGCAACATAGGTTGATCAATATTGGTACTTGGAACGACCTTTACATAGCACATAAGTCAGGTTTTGGTACATATTTTTGTAAGTATTAATCTTGTTTTCTATCTTCATCCCCAAAGAATTTCTTTTATTGTTGAATCACGCACGATAAATCGATTGTCGCAAAGAAAAAGGAAATAATGTAACCATTACACACAAAAATCTCCCACATTAAAACAGTCAAAATATTTTATATTTTTATATAATGTCACATAATAAATTATTATCATCGTTATCATTAGGAAGAAAGAGATTTGCATTTAAAATTTATAATGAAATGAGTAATAATGTTAGTGCTAATACTGATAGAGAAAATGAAAAAGATTATTTTCTTTCATTGTTCAAGAAAAACAAGGAGCTTTCTGAAAATGAAAAAGAGTATTGTAAGCAAAGGTTTATTTATGAGCTTGAATTACAGGATGCAATTTATAAAGAAGGAAAACCAAAAGAATGTAACAAGTGTAAATTGACAAGATACTCTGATAGGTTCTGTGAAGGTTGCATTAGTTTACAATTACAGAGTCTTTTCACCACTTGGACATCTGGAAATAACATAGTTGACAACTTTATTCAACAATGTCAAATGAAGTCATCTCTGCCAATCCACATTTTAGAATGGATACCTTTTGAGCAATTTAAAAAAGTAACAAAGTTGACAGAAGGTGGATTTAGTTCGATTTTTACTGCTACATGGACAAGAGGAACAATAGTTGATTATGACGAAAATAAAAAGGAATTTAGATATTTTGGAGGGCAACTAGTAGTATTAAAAAGTTTAAATGATTCAAGTAATCCAGGAAAAAGCTTTTTTGATGAGGTTGGTAGTTTTCATTTAAAACAAAATAAACAATACTATATTATATATATAATACTAATTGATTTTATTTACTTTCAGGCAATGAATTATTGTAAAATTAAAGCACCAATGATTGTTCAGTGCTTTGGTATAACCAAATTCCCAGATAATGGAAATTATGCAATAGTTTTAAATTATTTACTAGGTGGAAGTTTAAGGGATTATTTGCAAAAAAGTCATTTAACATTAAAAGTCAGAATTACAATATTTTATTATTTATGTTATGCATTAAATGATATACACGAAAAAGATTTAATCCATTGTGATTTACATAGTGGTAATATATTATTGCAAGGAGGTAATAGTTATATTACAGATTTGGGGTTATGTGGACCAGTTGATGAAAAATCATCAGATAAAGTCTATGGAATTGTATCATATGTTGCACCTGAAGTACTTAGAGGCAAAAAGAACACCAAAGAATCAGATATCTATAGTGTTGGGATGTTAATGTGGGAAATATTTGCAGTAGTGATGTTAGCCGTTTAAAAATCCTTAGCCGGCTAAGCCGTTTACTACCTAAATTGGTAATTCTATTTCTATAAC